AGATAGCCTAAACTTGTGTTGAATTATTAAGGCTATGTATTTCAGTTACTAGCATTTTCCCTTACCGATTGCCAAATATGATCCGCCTTTAACTGTTAAAAACGACCTTTTGACAGTTAAATCTATAGTTGCTTTACTAATGGCGCCTGTTGTAACGCCGCGCCTCTCGTGTGCTTGCACACACAGTCTGATTCTCGACCAATCGTGGCTTTCCTAACTGACTAATCAGCCGCAGGGCTACCTCTGAACTACTCTCGCTCAAGGCGCTGTTACACATGTTCCGCTATCCTACCAAATACGCTGGCTCTTACGGCGCCAGACGTACACTCTCGTATGACAGCTTACCTCTTCCAGTCGAATACTCTAGTAGTTGTGCACAGGAAAGAAGATCCTCCCAACTGCCGTACCAATTCGACTCTTACTATTGTAGACCCGGTCGAAAGGTCGCAGAGCCCACAGTTTCCCGATGGCTTGATTAACCATCAAACATCTTCCGACAGCCGTGACTGTTTCGTTAGTACGGTCAGACAACCCGATACTAAAACACACAGCAGATAGAAGCGAACATTGACTGACTCATACCTAAGCACGTTTTGGTCATTCAAGTTTGCATATTTCAGCCTTTAACGACGATGTGTTTTCATAAAGTGGTCAATGCTAAGAGAATATCACACAATTACAAGACGTATTAAGCTGACGTTCGAGAGAAGTTTCTTTTAAAATTCCGGTGGCATATAGCTATTTGATAAGATATAATGTACGTTAATATAATCTTGAGCTTAGAAGGATTCATTAATATGTTCACAAAAGTTGAAAATTTTTGCTGCGGAATGGATAAGATCTGAAAAAAACAATGCAAAAGAATGCTAAACATGAACTGCTTTCGATAACTACACACTATCCAAAAGAACATTTTGGTACTGCCTTGTAAATACCTAAACGATCGAAGATGTAGCGAATTTGGGAGTCTGCGTCCCTGCCAGGGAAAAGAGGCTTTCTGACAATCATTTCGAAGAGTATACATCCAGCGCCCCAAATGTCGATTTTACCGTCGTATTTGGTTTGACCCAGAAGGATTTCCGGTGGTCTGTACCTAAAAGCATTTTAAACATTTCGCAATAACATAATCTGATATGCACGTTTTTATGCAGCGTACTGGATACATAAGGTTGTGCTCGAAAAGTTTACGAAACGACAATCGGTATTTTGGATCAACAGCTTCTGCTGATGTAAATAGAAGGAACATTTAAAAATCTTCAGCACACTAGGTAACTTACCACAGAGTCACAACCTCTGAGGCGAGCTCATCCTTTTTTATACTTATTTGCCTTGCGAGACCTAAAATGCGAAATCGATGAAATTCAACGATAATTGCTAACGTTTATTATCTCATATTTTCATCACGGCTTCATCACAGACACAATTAAATGACCTCTAGAATAATTAATACACGCCCGCTTTGCGAACATGAGCACAACTAAATCATTTACTTGGAAGCACGAAGGTGACTAAATGAAACAAAACATTTGAAATAACTCAATACAATACAATATAAATCCAGTTCACGGAGGCCGGTTCGATTAAAGGCATGCAAAGCTAAAACGATTAATTTTGCACCTGTTTATAGGAGTGTTGGCGCTTTTGGCACTGGTTAGGCAGACTTTGTGCGAAGGATCCCTAAGTGACCTCTCAAGTCGATGTGTGATGTGCCTGTGCGATGACGACGAGTGCAGAGTAGGTTGGTGGCTTTAGAATCACGTGCGTTGTTGAGCATTCGAACGTTTTTCACACTAGCGGCCGGCGGGTTGAAAATACTGAAGATGGGAGATTTTTCGGGTATTCTGAGCACTTTCAGACTGTCAGAAGTGCAGTGAGTTCAGCGTTCATGGATGCTCAGGTGACCGAATAGGCCCATGCCATGAGTGAATAAACTCGTGTGGCGGGACAACGAAGGCCGATGCGACGAAAGTAGGTTGCGGCTCCAGGCACTGGTGCGCCGGTTAGAATGCGGTAGATGCGTGAGTGGCCTATCACGCCGATGCGTGAGGTGTGAACATGATCGCAATAAAAACAAGTTTGGCTCGATTTCCCATAGCTCGAGATGAGGGCAGTGGTGAAGAAATAAGCTGAGAGAAAGTCGGAGATAACTTAAACGCGGATCGGAAGTAGTGACGCTGGTGGTCGTTGGTATGGTGCACGTGGGATTGCATCAGTGGGGATGGCGCCGGTGGTCGATTGTGGTGGAGCAACGTAAATACGCTAACCAGTGGTGAAGATGTTTGTCGTAGTGTCTGAGGTAATGATGACATTGGGAGTGTGTGTATGTGGAAGTCGGGGTCCCCCGATTTTCGATACATCTCGTCCAAAAATGGTCAACGGCTATTGAGAATGGCGATGCAGATTTCAGGGCGCTATTCATGGTAGACGTTAATGAACATGCCAGAGAACACGAGACTGGAGAGGCTGGAAGGGAGTACGCAGCCCGCTTCACTGCACTGGTTACTGCAAATACGTCTGAGACTGTTCAGTTGTCAGTGACGCATACCTTCGTCCCATCGTGGAGCTGATGCGCGTGAATAGTTCGAGGCAGCCGAATTTCTGCATGCGTTGTCATAGCCCGTCATGAATAACCACATAAAAGGCTTTCGTTGGAAGCACGAAGTTAGTGTAGAGGGCGATTAGTATCTCCTGAAACTTTTATCGCAGCTAGTGAGCGGCGAAGATTATGTCTGTTTTTCACAATGTCTTGCCGGGAGCAGTTACCGTTCAAGTCGTCTGTTATGGCGAGTAAACACGATGCGAGCAAATATCTTCCTGGGGATCCTGAGCAGCAAGATACCGCTTTGGTTATGACATGGTTGCCGTTTCCCTTTCTGCTTGTAGAGAGAGAGGATGGTCAAGCCCTTGAAATACAGAGCAGCCTGAACCTTGGGCCACATCTCATGAAATATCGCTGTAAGGTCCGCCATCACCCGGTGGCCACAAGGCTCGTAGTCTTTCGCTAGGGTTGGATGGGATATCGGTGCTTTGTCATTGGAAATGTGTTGCACGGCGCGAATGTTTTCTGGCGGGTAATTCATGAGATTCAGTTTGGTGTTCACCACCGTTTGTTAACCGGTAAGTAAACAACAAACATGAAGTTTCCTGATCAAACTCAGACTACTACCAAAAAGTAACATATTTGCTAGGGGTGCAAAGGTAAACGTTTGCTAAAATCTATCTTCCGAAAATGCAAATACTCTGAAAAATTTACTTATGAAGATTACACGTAAAGAAAAGTGCTTAGATAATTCGCATGCAGTACGGATGTAGTTTATAAATACGCACGGAATTGCAATCCAATAACATTTTAAGGGCGTGGGAATATCTGCATGGCAAGCAGACAAAATTCCTAGCATACACAGAAGTAACTCTACGAAACTTACCAAAATCAGCTAGTTTTAGAACATCATCTTTTGTTACCAGGATATTCTCCGGTTTAAGGTCGCGGTGTATAACCTTTTTCTGATGACAATACGCCAAAGCGCGCAAGATCTGTCTGAAATAATCTCTAACTTTGTCCGCGCGTAAGGGGACATTTCCATTAATAATCGTCTTCAATTCCCGTTCCTTTTATAAAAGCAAAAAAAGTCAGAAAAAAGCATCAGCAATTTTGAGAGCCCATGCTAAGTGGTTTGCGTTCAAGAAAAAAATCGTTAGTGAGCCTGTTTTTTACTAAAAATATAGGAAACAAAGAAATGGGGAATAGACCGTGTTCAACAACGCACATACACAGTCTCTCACACACATTTGTATTTTTGGCAAACAGCAGTTTACGATCACTCAACATCAGGCCTTAAAATTGACATGGAAAGTAAATTGGTCATTTATGATCAGGGCTTATACGGTTCTTGGAGTTGGAGGCATTGAAATGCTGTTTTTAATGTCTGTATGTAAATACGCGTAATGTGTGTGACTGGTGGCCGTCTTTAGCTGGGTTTGCTAAAAGAATCACCACTGCCTCGGGCGTGTCTAGCAACGGCTTGTGTTGACTCTTAGAGTAGTATGCTGGTGCCTGATATACTACCCGCAAGGCCTCTCTCGCCTTATCTCGGTGATTTGTGTCGATTAAGTGTGCGATAATGGAACTTAAAGTTAATCGATTTTCTCCTTCGTCCAGCAAGGCTGATGTACGTTCGCCTATCTTCTTCTTTAGACGTGTTGTTTTTACGCCAGTATATATCGCTCTGTACGAGCAGGTGAATGAATAAATACACATAGATGCGAACTATAACGGCAGTTGATCTTTATCACTCAGCTGTAGGAGGGGAGCGTTTGCAAAGAATACGCGCAAATTCGCCCCCGGGAAATCACTCGTGACAGCCGTCTTTAGAAGTCGTCTTACTAAATCACTCGCTACGTCTCCTAGAAAAGGCAGTTTTATGTGTTTTTTTCTTTCCTGACAATCTCTGGACTATATTTTGTTTTAAGATTAAGAGGAACAAAACTATGAAAAGAAATGCATTGCTACGTCTATGTTTTCTTTCTGAATATCCTATATAAAGAGACATGTAGGAGCGCAATTTCGCTGTTCGTCTCGGTTTCTGCAGACAATTTTAGTAATGGGTGGGCCTAGTTAAACGTTCAAACGAGATCACTGATATCGCCGGTGATATTTATCAGGCAAAATATATCACCTACGTACTGATCGTAGAAAGCAAGGTCACTGAGTGGGTCTTTAAGACTAGATTCCTCGGCCTTGCTCACGAAGATACTTTTGAGAAATGATCCAAGTGATGAGCCCATCGCCACTCGGTTTGCTGTCTCTATAATTACTTATTGCCGGGAAACTGGACACTTAATATATATCGCGTGATTAGTTTTTTTATGCGTCTCTGCTGTATTCCGCCTCTGTTAGTTTTCTTCACGGATAAAGGCACCTAGATAATTAAAAGTTTATACTACGGGTACGTTGGTGAGCATTGAGGATACATCTGATGACAGCGTCTTCCTTATGCCAACGTTACTATTCTCGACAGCTTTAACAAACCCATGGCTAGGCAACGGAGAAAATCAATCGATTTTAAGTTTATTTTTCGCACACTTAATTGACAGGGATTACCACGGTGATATGATAGAGGTCTTGCAGGTCGTATACCTAGCACCAGCACACTGCTCTGAAGGCCAAAACAAGTGGTTACTAGAGACGACCGCGGCGGTAACAATTCGTTTAGTAAAACTGGCTATGCTATCTTAAGACGGAGTACAGTTGCACGCACTCCGCGTATTTAACGTGCAGACTTTACAAACAGCCTATCGTAAGCACGTCCTGCATAACGAACCTCCATCTTCTCAACAAGCTGACCCCGTAATGCAAGACACGAGGGAACAAAGCGATGACTAAGAAACTGGTCTTCCACAACCCCAAGAATTGTACAAGCATCTATACATAATTGCATAAGTTATTTTCCAGTTCAATGTTAAGGCCTGATGATGAGTGATCGAAAACAGGTTTTAGCTTAAGTGCTTTTCCCCCGTAACACGGAAATTTTCGTAGATGTTTTTAGGCAAATGCACTATAGAAGAAAGTTTTTTTTTAACTAAATTAAGTGTATATTTAAGGCACAAGAGGCCTATCAATACTGAGTACTTGGACACAATGAAACGTCTATTGAATACGAATTTTCTACATTTATTTTGTGTGCATCGCCAATAGATTACTCAAGTAAAGTGATACACAGACGGAACGTTTTGAAGCACGTGAAGTGGAATGCAAGTATTTTCCTGTCTTCGATTTGTCATGCATTCGAATGCGACAAAAAAAGTAAAATAAATCTGTGAAGCGAAAATGAGTGGTGGTTCTATTGTTTTTGGGGGGAGAATCGTAAAACATCTAACAAGATTTATGTCGAACAGAAATCTCTTAATACATTTCAGGCATGGTATTACGTAAAATTCAGAATAATTGACTTTAACTCAATAACAGTGTTATTCGAATATCGGCACATTGTTTAATCAAGGGTTTATACTAAATATGGGTTGTGTTCATTTTTTGTAAATTGGAGTTCGAAAAATAATGAGTTTAGGTCTTCGAAGGACCGTTAAAGGTGAGAATCTGTTCGAAACGGGTATTGCGGAGGTGACCTACAACACTCATTTTTCAGAGATTATCTCCGCAGACTATAACCTATAAATACACGCAGTACTTTAGCAAAATTTTGTTTTAGTTTTCGACATTTATCCAAGAAAAACAGAGATTTATGGAAATGAGCTTCAAACAACAAGTTATTAATAATCATCCTATCCAGGATTATTTTTTATTTAGGTTGCCTATTAAGCTGACATTTATTTTGCGATTGCAAAATTTTATTCCTAGGCAATGAAGAGAATGTATCAAAATCGAACGTATGATCACAAGATCGAATATACAACTTCACATGGCACACAGTCCAAGTATTTAGTAAATAGGTCAATTTATCTGATAAATATACACATTAACTAGGTGCTTGACAATTAATCAGTCCTTATAATTTATTAATCTGATTTTCACAAATAATGAACGAAAGGGTTAGCAGACCTTTGGCAGGCATTGCATTACAAAATTATGCTGATGAGCATAATTGCCGTATGGTTTGTATTCAAGCATTTGAACGATTCACCTTTATGTCGTACGCTCAGTGGTTTACGCTTCCAAGGCAATAAAGGACATAAAAGGTATTTCACACAGTGGCTGTCTTCATTTTGCTGCTAACTTTTATTCAAAAGTACCTGCATTTTTCAGTTCTAATAGCAAATTTCAGCCTGATGACTCTTACTCTTTACTTACGGAATTTGAAGATGTGATGGTTTCATATTTGAAACTCTTGCCGACTGGCAAAGTTTGTTTTATTCCTAGAGTAACCAATTTGTTATTAAATTAATTTTGTCCTTCAGAATTGTCACTATTTTTGTATAAGTTTTAAAAGCGCCAGGTTTTGCGTTTAGAAACTTGTAGGCTTGAATGTTCAAGTTAAAAAAGACCCACAAAAGAAGATATCCCCATCCAAAGTGGCCGGACGTTACGCCAAGTTCACTAGAATTAAGTTTATTTGTAAATATGAGTTTGGGGCTAACCGGAAACCTCTCAAATATGTCTATAAAGTTCTTTGATGAACGCTCATCTGTCACTAACCAAACTCATTCGGTTCTACCTTGGGCCCACTCATGAGCTGTGCTAACAGCCGCAAAAGTGTAGGCAGATGCACATTGTCGGCCAAGGCAAGGGAGACTGGGATAGTCATTTCTGGCTTCTTAGCCATCATCAGTTCAACGTCATCTTTAAAAGATATAACAAATAGGTGCCCAGTAAATAAGCTCTGGGCCGTCTCCTGATTTTCAACATGTTTAAACGGTGACTGTGTGAGCGTAAGGTGCTCCGGTCAAAAATGTCATGCTGCTCTCTTAAAGGTATATACTATTTGAATGACTTATGAATGTAAACAGTAGAGATACGAATATATTCAAGAACAGCAGTACTTACCACGTATTCGAAGACAAGTGTGGCACAACCTATTGCGCTCTGAACATCCAGTAATTTAACAATATTTTCATGATTTAATTCGCGAAGTATGGCAATTTCACGCATTGAATTGCCAGGAAATCCTTCTTCATCATTCATCTTCAGTTCTTTGACAGCAACGATTTTGCAATCCACCGTTCTTGCCAGATAAACAGTTGCATACGTACCCTAAAAGTAAAATGCAAGCTTGTTTATAGTCTCACATGTGCTAGGTTGCACGTAATTCGCATCTGCGTCTGCTTTTGGCCGCTCAATAACGGAGAACGCAAAGCAAATCACGATATTCTGTTTTTAAAAGAAAGTTTCCCCTTCCAATCCTTTTAGATAATCGTACTAAGGTTGGCTTTTGGCAATTGGCTATTGCCTCTCTGTTGCGTCACCCACAGAATAATCGAGAGTTCCCTATGCTAAAGGTTTGTGTTACCGAAGTCTTCAGAGACACGGCATGCAAAGGCAGAACATAACATAGCGTGTAAAATTAAAGATTCGAACCCCTAGGCAAGCGCCATCTTTAATTGGGGCATTTCAGCGACAAATAATGAAGACTGAAGTAATCGTCCATGACAAGTTTCATGTCATCAGGCGGTATCACCCCAAGTCCGCCGGACACTTGAAGCATGAACCTGGGTGGTTTGACCATCAAATCCTTTTAAATGTTTGACGCCAATTCATTTGTGCTCTGTCTGCGTTCTGCCAATTACAAAGGCATATATTGAAAATACCACAACGGGGAAAATTTTGATCTCTCTTGATTAAATAATGGAATTAAGTATTTGCATTATTTGATAAAATTCTTGGATAAATGACTCTTTCGAACGATCGTATATCAAAAAGCAACCACTAGTCAACATTCAGGACCAGTTTTGGGTTATTGATTGCTTATATTTGCGCAATTGCATCCGATGGCTTTAAGGAGAGATTCCAATACCCAGCTCTTTATTGCTGACGAACACGCCATCTATGAGACGTTTCAGTGCAGCAGTCATAAGAAGCAAGCAACAGCCCATGTGGAGTTAATGACTTATTTCTGCAGGTAAACATTCTTTGCAACAGATTTCCCATTATATTTATTTTACCAAACTCAAGAATGAAGACAACCTTCCGCAATGTAAATGAATCCAAAGTTGATCTGTATTGAAGTCTTCTATTTCATGTTTTAAGCTTCTTGCCACGCAATATAGTAAATAAGTGAAGGGTAACAGATTACTAAGAGATTTACTTACGGATCCAAGTTTCTTAATTTTCGTGTATTTCTCGAGAGTGGGCTATAGCATTCAAGTAATTCAAAATACAAAAATGAATTATTTCATAATCAAAAGCGATGAATAATGATGGTGTACTTATTAAACAAAACTTTTGAGACAGAGCAGATCTTGAGCAAAGTATCATTGCTGTTCATATTAAAATTAAAACCATACATATGCTGAAAGCCTGCTCAATATGCGCAAAAGTTATGAAACTCTTGACCAAGAAGAACAGACATCATTAAACGATGTAAGAGTGGATGAACGTTTAATCATTCTGTCGACTGGCAAATGTCGCTTTACTGTAGTGCTTAACAACCCTGATTACCAAAAGTAGCACAAGGCCTACTCCACGACCATCAATATTATGGGGTATGTCCAACCACTGTACTTAAACGTCTGCTCACGCAAAAAACAAAAGTCTGGCAAAATGCACAGAAAATGGTGCAATCACGCCCAGCGATTAATTCTACATGAAACAAACTAATTAAGCCAGGGCACGATTTTACGATCTGCCGAAACTACACAAAGAAACAATACCACTCAGGCGGATCATCTCCCTATTGTGGCACTCCTAAATATGGTTTGACAAAGTTGATATTAAATCACCATGAGTCCCTGCTAGTAGGCTCACCAACAACTCAGCCTCTCCTAATTACATAATTGAACGAATAAAATATCTGAAATGGGATCAAAATTAATCCACGGTAACCCCTACGTCGTTTCATTCCTTGCACTTTAACAACAAATACGATTGATCTTACGCGAAAAATGTTCTTCGAGCGCTACGATGAGAGGAACAAGCCCTTGGAGTGTAAATGGTGCGAGGTGAGGCCTTTGTAGCTCAATTTGTTAGAGCGTTGGCCTCGCGTAAAGGCCTTCTCTACTATGTGGGTTCAAATCCCGCCAAATGCCTCGAGATTGTCCATAATTGAGTCAACTCAAATTAAGCAAAGTTGCCAAACCACCTAATAATATTGAACGCCTAGAGGAACTACCAAACCCTTTTCATCTGGTTATCGAATTCACGTTGGAAGCTGAAACAAACAACCAACTTGCCTTCCCCGATGTCCTTGTGCGTCGGTGTGCATGTGGTTTTCTGCACCACCGATACCACCACCAAAAGCAGATACTACACTTCAACAGCAATCATCCCGATGAATTGAAATACACTGGACCATCCCAACTGACATAAGCGTTGAATTGCAATACGTTCATGAACTCAGCCGAGCCACTGAACATCTTAGCTTCTTAAGCAAAGAACGCAAGCCCCGAGTCAACAGAAAGCAGCTATAAGGACCAGCAACCCGAAGTCTGGAAGATCATTTCTTACATAATATGAGACGGCGACAGTTACAACCTACTGGACTGGAGAAGACCCATCGACCTAGGGCGACAATTCGCCGTCGTGTGATCTAAATGAAGGACAGAATGTCCCCTACCGAACCCTCCGCAGCTGTCTACCAAATATACTGCAAGACTTAAGACCGCAAATACTTCCATGTACCTTGACGGAACTTGCAGACCCGCCTAAATGATAAAAATTTGGCAGTTTGGAGATTAACCCAATCTCACTGTTAGCCACCCATATTGGATCGACTGCTCATACTTTGAAACCCAAGAAGCGGCTATCTTAACCAATGCTTGTGAAATGGTATTCATATGCCACCCCCTAACAACTGGCATCTAAAACGCCCTGAGAAATGTAAACCTGTGTAACATTACATGAATGAAGGCCCTACTTTGAAAAATTGATGGTTTTGATAAGGAGTTTCACACCATTCCCGTGCAGAACTTCACCACCATATCAAGCATACGTAGTTGAAATTGGAACTCATATGTGGTTGTTCTTAAGCCACATGTTGTGGGACGCATAGCAACAA